TCCCCTGGCTTGCGCCGTCCCTTCCACTCGATGAGGTGGGCGACGCGGCCCTGTGCCATGGCCGTCGGCTTCGTCACATGCTCCTTCACCACCTGCGAGATGCCTGCGAGATGTGCCCCTGCGTCAGAAGTCCCTGAGCACTCCAAGTCCCCTCCATGAGCCCATGAACCAGCACACTCATCTACTGCTCTTTGGACCTGGTGCCCCCGTGCCTTCCTCTTGGGTACCACCAGGGACCTAGGGACACCTTGAGCCCCCGAACCCCAGATGGGTGATACCAATGCCCTTCTCAAGAGGTCCAGCCCCCTCTCCCATAGGAGACCCCCATTCTCTGGTGAACCCTCAGACACCCCACGCCCCAGGCCAGGAAAGCAGTTACCATGCAGCGAGGAGCGGGCCAGGGCGGCAATCTCCTGGATGGTCAGCGCGCGCCGTGACTTGGGCAGCATCTCGACAGTGTCCTCAACATTGACCTGCCAGGGTAGAAAAGGGTGTCACAGTCCCTGGCCACCCGGCCTGCCCACTGCCTGCCATCACCACCTCCACCAAGCCCCGTGCCCTGGGAAGGGGTTCAGCCCCTCTTGGTGCCCACCCGCTAGGGCTGGGGTGTCTGTGCACACGCATGTGTTACAGACACGCATGCACCTGCGTGCAGAGGGATGGTCATAGCCAGTACAGGCAGGGCAGTGGGTGCACACACACCCGTGCCTGTGTGCATGCTTTCATAGTAGTACACCCATATGCTGCTGCTCACACTGACCCTTACATGTGCACACATAGACATGCTCAGTGCACACGTCTGCTCATGTAACCACATGTACACACACAGGCACTTGTACACATGCAAACTCACACACACACAGGGCCCTTCTCACCATGTGCACACATGAACTCACTGCGCGCACACGTGTGCTCACTGTGCACACACACATAGGTAACCTGTACGTGGTGTGCACAGTCCACGCTAGTTGGGGCCACTGAGTGTCCTCCTCTGCTTGTGCACACACACACACACACATGAGCTCATGCAAGGCCACCGCCATGCCAGAACATCCCGATCCCGCTGCTTGTCCCCATTGCCCGTCCCAGCCATGCCAGGCCCCGAGCCCATGGCCACGGGGGAAGCAATGCAGGATTGGAGACGCGCAACAAATTGCATTGCCATGGCAACGAGGCACCGTGGACTGATTTCTCCCAGGATACAGCCTGGCTCGTGGCTGACGTCAGAGCAGCCCACCGCCATGCCAGAACATCCCGATCCCGCTGCTTGTCCCCATTGCCCGTCCCAGCCATGCCAGGCCCCGAGCCCATGGCCACGGGGGAAGCAATGCAGGATTGGAGACGCGCAACAAATTGCATTGCCATGGCAACGAGGCACCGTGGACTGATTTCTCCCAGGATACAGCCTGGCTCGTGGCTGACGTCAGAGCAGCCCCAAGGCAGGCAGGAGAGTGGGGGGCAGTGGGGCCCCGCACACCCCAAAACAGGGCCAGGACAGGTGTCCCACTGTGAGGTACCAGGGTACCTGGAGGAAGTCCTGGCTGTCGAAGGAGACCTGGCGCACCAGGTGGGGCAGCGGGCGGGCAGCACTCAGCGGAGACAGAGCTTTCACCTCTT